AAAACAAGTTCAGGATGCGGGTTTGAATAAGGTTAGAGACATGTTGGGTTCTGAGAAAGCTGAAGGATTTGAACAAGATGTGGATGGGGTTTTCATGTACAGGGGAAGTATTTGTATTTTGCAAGATGAAGAGTTGAAGAAGTTGATACTTGAAGAAGGTCATAAAAGCAAGTTGAGTGTACATCCAGGTATGACAAAGATGTATCAAGATTTGAAGAGAATGTTTTGGTGGAATGGTATGAAAAGGGGCGTGGCCGAGTATGTTGCATCTTGCATTGTGTGTCAGAAAGCTAAAGTAGAACATCAAAAACCAGGAGGTTTGTTACAGATGATGGAAGTGCCAGAATGGAAATGGGATAGTATCGCCATGGATTTTGTTGTTGGATTGCCAAGGTCTGCTAAGAATTGTGATTTTATTTGGGTGATTGTGGATAGATTAACTAAGTGTGCTCATTTTCTTCCAGTGAATGAAAAATGGTCCTTGGAAAAGTTAACTCAATTGTATATCAAGGAGATAGTTAGATTACATGGTGTGCCCTCTAGTATCATTTTTGATAGGGATCCTCGTTTTACTTCTCAATTTTGGCAGATTTTACACCAGGCGTTAGGGACTAAGTTGAGACTTAGTTCTGCTTATCACCCACAGAATGATGGGCAGTCTGAGAGGACTATCCATCGTTGGAGGACTTGTTGAGGGCTTGTATTTTGGATCATCTAGGGAGTTGGGAAGAAATCTTTCCTTTGGTCGAGTTCACTTATAATAACAGTTTTCATGCAAGTATAGGGATGGCACCATTTGAGGCTCTGTATGGGAAGAAGTGTCGGACACCTTTGTGTTGGTTTAAAGAGGGAGAATCAATGATAGTAGGGCCAAAGATCATCTTACAGACTACTGAAAAAGTGAAACAAATTCAAGAAAGAATGAAAGGTTCTCAGAGTAGGCAAAAGTCTTATGTAGACAAGAGGAAGAAATCTCTAGAGTTTTTAGAGGGAGAACATGTATTTTTGAAGGTGACTCCTACTACAGGTGTGGGAAGGGCTATTAAAGCTAAAAAGTTGAATCCTAAGTTTATTGGGCTGTATCAAATTCTCAATAGGATTGGATCAGTGGCATATCATATTGCATTACTTCCATTCCTGTCTAATTTGCATGATGTGTTCCATGTTTCCCAATTGAGGAAGTATATTCACGATCCGAGTCATGTTTTGGAATCAGAGGCAGAACAAGTTAAGGAGAATTTAACTTTTGAGAAACAACTAGTTTCAATAGTAGATAAGTAAGTGAAATAGTTGCAGGGTAAATCTATCAATTTGGTAAAAGTTATTTGGGATGAGGTTACTAATGAAGCTACTTGGGAGTTGGAAGATAGGATGAAGGATCGATACCCATATCTCTTTTTGAGTAAGTGAATTTTCGGGGACAAAAATTTTTGTTGTTGGGGAGAGTTGTGATGCCATGGAAATATCGAGCCATTTAGTAGATATACTTTATGTATACATATATGTATATATATATATATATATATATATATATGTATGTATGTATGTATGTATGTGTATGTTGTTTATATGGATTTGGATTGGATTCTCGAGGTGTGGATTTGAAATGTACTTATCTTTATGCATGTTATATATTTATGTGGTTTTGATTAGTTATTTGGACATAGAAGTGATTTTGTAGTATAGAGCGAGATATCGTTGTTTTGAGGTGTTTATATAGGCATATGTACGCATAAGTGTGGTGAATGATGCATTGTACACCATTATACTGAATTGGTACTAAGAGGGAAGAAGACTAATCACCTTTCTTCTCATCTTAGTTAAGTGAAGTATTATGGCATGCAACTCATTATTCCAAGAATATGAATATGAATGTGTTGTTTGTTTCCATGTTAATACATGTTGCATTTCATATGGTGGTGAGTTGTGAGTATTGCATAAAAAAGAATAGGACTGGTAGGAGATTGAAGGATAGGAACATAAGATAAATCTGGTCTTTCTGAGTGAATTTGAGGTTGTTTTAGAGCTTAGGAAGTTGAAATACTACAAGGAATAGGATATTTGAGGTGAATAGGTGCTAAGGGTGAAATTTTGAAATTTTGGAAAATGGCTATATATAGGGACTTAGGACCGGAGGGTCTCATTTGTCAAATAGAGACAGTTTCTAGAGAGAGGAAGTAGAGAGAGAGGCTCTGGTCCGAAGGGAAGCTGATGACACATTTGAGAAGCTTATCAAGCCAGGATCAATCTTCACAACTAGAGTTTCAAGAGAATTAGCCTCTAAAAGCATGAAAAGTGAGGTTGAAGTCTGAATTGGGATTTGAGGGTTTTGTTCAAATCTTGCATTTCTAAAGTTCCTGAGGTAAGGGTAGTACTTATAAGACTTAATCTAGTATGTATGGGTTTGAAATATCACATTGATTCCATGTTTTACGCATGATTAAGGCTGGATTGAGTGGAAAGGCTTTGGTTGGGTTTCTTGATGATTTCCATGGATTAATGGTTAAGACTTGATTTTATCGCTTAATATGTTGTTTTTTGGATAATGTTTATGCTTTATAATGGTTTGAACTCGTGTAATTTGGATTGGGTTGATGTTGGGAAGGAATTTTTGAGGTTTTTGGAGGTTTCTGGTTGAACATGAGCCAGGCGCAGTTCTTGGCGCCGGGTAGAGGCCACCATTGTCTTTTCATGGCAAGCGCGAAGACCTTTGTAGGTTTCTGTCTAGACTACACCGGGCTCAGCGTGAGCGCGCCGGGCGTGAAGTCTCTGTTTGAGTTTGTGCCGGGCAGGATATTAATGTGTCGAGCGTGAGTATGTTGTGTTGAGATTCATAGTGCTGAATCAACTCATCTCTGTAGATTGAAGATTTTGATGATAACAAAGTGTGGAACAAGGCTAACCAAGGACATCAACAAGTCAAAAACAAAGTCAAGAAGAAAAATATAACTATTATGTTGTAATATGAGTAGCTCATAATTTGTGTTATTTTGTTGAGCTTATTTTTTCTTGTGTGTGCTTTGTGCTTAAGCTAATCTGTATCTAATCTGATTAGGAGTGAGTATGATGATGAGTTTGAAGCTTAAGAAATTATTTTGAAACATAAAACAGTTTTGAAAATTAACTCAAAATAATCGATTATCATTAAATATAATTAATTTTTCCAGCAACAGGCTAAAAGGATGCCTTGCTGCAATAATCGATTATTTGTGAAATAATCGATTATCCCAGGAATCAATCTCTGGAATAATCGTTTATCCTGCAAAATAATCAATTAAATTGTCCTTGGTTGATTTCCATAAATCATGAAGAACAAAATAATCGATTATTCTTTAAAACACTACAAGAAAAATCAGCATTATCTACGAAAAAAATCCGTAGATAATGATGAAAATCCGTAGATAACTGATAATTATCTACGGATTATCTACGGAAAAAAATCCGTAGATAATAAGGTCGTAGATAATATTATCTATGGAAAATTTTCCGTAGATAACGTTATCTACGGATTTTATCTACGGAAATAGAATATATCTACGGATGCATTTATCTACGAAAATTTCCGTAGATAACTTATCTATGGAAATTTCTGTAGATAACTTACCTACGGAAATTTCCGTAGATAAGTTATCTACAAAAATTTCCGTAGGTAAGTTATCTACGGAAATATCCGTAGGTAAGTTATCTACGAAAATTTTCGTAGATAACTTACCTACGGAAATTTCCGTAGATAACTCTTCATCAGGTTGTTCACAAGCTCAAATCAGGCTGGTCATAATTTGCGAT